CTAGGAGCAAGCCAGACATAAGTTGTAGGCTGGAAAGGCAAGCCATACTTATATTGTGGGCTCGGGAGCAATCCAGACATGAGTTGTGGGCCAAGTCGCAAACCAGACTCATGTTGTGAGCTCAGTGGTAATCCACCCCGATGGTTGTGGACCCCGAGGGTATTCCAGTCCGATGATTGATTGAACCAAACATGCATGATTGTATATGTTTTATTGTGTGTGTTATTTTGGGGGAACTCACTAAGTTTTAGTTTGATTGTTATGGTTTCAAGTATTTCAGAGGTCAGGGGAAAGGTAAAGGCTTGATCGTGCACATCATCCTAGATTTCATGTGTTTTACGATTTTAGGATACTCTGATTTATGATAACGAATTTTGGAGAACTTGTTTTGTAAAACTTATGGATTTTTGGAATGGTTTTAAAAATGCAAAATTTGGCCTCGATTTTGGGATCTTACATCATTTCCCCTATAAAAACTGTAAGCGGGAGGTAGAAGCAAAATGTCCATGTCTACAGTAGCCAAAAGACCTGGTGAATGACAATTTGGTCACTCATCATATGTATGCGTCACATGAGTATAATCAGCTCTAATTAAAAGAAAGGGTGAGTTTGGTGTACGTTTAGATACGAACATCAAGATTTCAATCTAAAATTAGTTTTTTAACTGAAAATCAGAAGTACATTGCTATTATGGGTAAAGATTGAAATATATTGCCTATATTGGTAAAAGTGGTTAAGTATATTCCTATTTCTTGCAATTTAGTTATATATACGATCACTTCGGCCGGCCGCGAAGTGCGGGAAACCCTCTAGTTCCTATTATTTTCTAGTTAAATAGTTTGTTTCCTAATTTCAATAAGTTTTAGTATATTTTTGTTTATCGTAAAATTATTTAAATTATTTTTTAGAACTTTTTGTGGTTATAGTCAACTTTAAAACTAACAAAATTTTTCTTTTTATTTTTTCAATATAAAACAATTTTTTTATTAAAACTATTTTTAAACTTTAGTAGTAGTTAATTAAATATTGAAAAGGTAATATTTTTTAAATTCAAAGTATTGTATATGTAATAATCAAATAAAAAAATATCGTATTTTCTTAGCTTAAAAGCTAAACATTATTTTTACATTTCTTTAAATTTAATCCTAATTAAATTACGAGTTTGTATATAAATATGAGTTTTATAGTTTAAAACGGAAATATATGTAATTTTAAAATTTTTAAAGATATACGTGTAATATTTAAAGTTTGTAAGGATATAATAATTGATTATAAATTGTTAAAAAAATATTTAGAATTTTTTATGGACAAATACGATATTTTAAAGATTAAGAAAGGTAAATACGATATTTAAATTTTAAGTTTGACAAATCCGATATTTTGTTATTTAACAATGACATATACAAAATTTTTAAATGTGACCAAGCTTTACTGACATGGGTTTGTAGCAGCGGCGGAGCTTCAATATTTCATTTGGGGGGGAGGGAATATAATTTGTATAAAAATTGGTGAAAAGGGGGGGTCATAGTCAAAATTTTATATTTTTGGACTAAATATGTATAAAGTTAAAGCATATGGACTATTTATGCCAAAAAAATCAGGGGGCACATCCCCCTAGCCCTTGAAAAGATCCGCCACTGGTTTGTAGTGTCTAATTTATGGCGATTTTTAGATTACAAAGCATGTTTAACCAAGATCGGGTGTTGGTTTATCAAGCTAAAAGACGTGAGTCACTTGAATTTAGAGTGGGTCCTTTAAGGATCGTGTCTAGACCATGTTGTTGTAACATCGGATGGGGCATGCTAAAATATGTTGTAGACCATATCAACAAATAACAATATGATAAAGATTGCAATTTTGTTTCATCTAAAAAAATGTAAGACATGTAATCATTGATTGCATATTTAATTATTTATGTAGAAAGACGTTAATATGAGTCTCATCATGGAGAATAACTTTAAAAATCCTTGTCAAGTCCTTTTTAAAAATGGTAAACCACCATTTGAGGAGTCAATGCCGAACCCGTCCTATGGCCCATCACATGGTCAATGCTCCGCACATTGTCGATAGCATGTCGGGGCTCAAAACCTTGTACATAATGTGTAGTTTTTAATAGATGCAAGAGAATGATGGTGGCACAATGACAATAAATGATCTAAGAAGTAGAATATCAATCACTAATCCATGAAAAAAAAAACATTAACGCTCTTTCCATCCTAATAATTAAAATAACTCTAAATGACTTGTCTTGTCGAATCCATCTATGAGAGGCAAGAGAATGTAAATAGCAACAATGAAAAAGAATTACCAAGGAAGTAAGAGATGCAAGAATGGAATATGAATGAAGAGTCGGAATGGAAATGAAACATTAGTTGTATTTAAGAAAGTGATTAAGGTAACTAAATGAAAACTTAGGGCATCTCCAATCAATATCAACACCCGGATATATTTAAAACACACATTTTGTGAGGCCAAAAACCAGTAATTAACCAAAACCTAAAAGTTGCAAAAACAAAGACAAAAAAATGGTAAGTTGAGAACGCGGATTACTACAAAAATTAAGTAATATTATTCACCAACTTAGTTTTTTTGCACTAAAATGGAGTTACTCCAAAAATAATGTAGGTTTAGAGATAACTCTTTACTTTAAATTAAAAATGTTGTTATGGTTAGAGATGATGGTTAACCTGAGATTCACTTGGCATCCACAGTCCACAATATGATATCTAATAACCAAAAATTGAAAACAAAAACCTCAAAACTATTGCTCTTAATCATGCATTCTCAAACAATTCTATCATTATATATGTTCTTCATCGTTTGTAGGTTTGTTTCATCCTACAGATTTCATCAAAATGTAAAAAAATTAAAACACGATCATATCAACAAACTTCCTGCATGCAAAATTCTCCACCTTCTTCTTTAGCAATGGTTACACAAGAACAACTTCAACTGGAAAAAAAAAACACAAAGTATTAGAGCTAATTTCCTCATATCTAGGCAAAGCTTCACACTCTTTTTAGTAATTCGAAGGCAAATGCGAGATTAGGGTTTTGATGAGTAGAAGAGAAATTGAGAAACAGAAATATTAAATCGCTGAATTGTATGACCAATTCAGATCCGGTGGTGGAGGAAGATATGCCGACGGCGACGGTGATGATGGAAAAGTCTATGATCAATTAAGAATTAGTAAAAAATAATTTTCTATTTACATCAATATTAATATTTAAAATATAGTAAATGACACGTCATATGCTACGTGGATCACCAGATGAAATGTCATGTATACTTTTCCTCCGGGGAACATGACTTATTAATGTAATTAACTTTTCGGTATGTTCACATCTGGGTAACTATCTTTTTTTTGTACACATTTAGATAACAAATTTGTTGGAAGTGTTTACATATGACCATTATGACCTGCTATAGCAGGTTAAATCCTAGATGTGAACGCTTTCAACAAGTTCGTTACCTAGATGTGTACAAAAAAAATAGTTACCCAAATATGAACAAAACGAAAAGTAAAAATTAAATTACAAGAATGGTCACTGTGGTTTGGGAGAATTTGTGTTTTTTGGTCCCTAACTTATTTTTTTTAACTTGGATGGTCCCTATTGTTTTTTTTTGTTGCGCGTTTGGTCTCTGTCTCTCCTAAAAAGACTATTGTGCCCTTATTAATTTATTTTTTAATTAATTTTCTTATTTATGTATTTATTTTTTACATGTTTAAAAAAATTAATAGACCCCACATATTTGTCTACCATCCGAGTTAAAAAAATAAATTAATTAAAAAATAAACAGTATGGATCATCCGATGAGATAAAAATATGTGGAGTCATACAAAAATGAGACCTCTAGTCGAGATAAAGGTAGTGGAGCAAATTGAAGGTGACACGTGGTGAAGGGAAGCATTGTAGAGGTTAAAGGTGGCGCTGGTGATGCAAGGTAGACCTTAAGGTTTGTGGTGGGTTAAAAAACCTCGAAATTTGAAAACCGCTACGGTCAATGAGCAAACCATTTTTGTGTGTTAAAAAATCTAATACGAAAAATATATAAAACACTTTATCAATCCAATACTTAATACGGAAAAGTAATAAAAGCCTAAACTTGTGGGTTATAAAACGGCAAGGACTTAAAATTAACCATTGAAGTAAGTTTATGAAACACGTTTTTATGAAATAAAGCTAAATGGAAACTCACATGAACAAATTTTGTTCCATCGACACCCATTATTGTGAATCAGTACGGAATTAGAACCATTTTACAAAATATTATTTGTACTAAATTAATAGACCCCATATATTTGTCTACCATCCGAGTTAAAAAAATTAATTAATTAAAAAATAAACAGTATGGATCATCCGATGAAATAAAAATATGTGGAGTCTATTAATTTTTATAAATATGTAAAAAATAAATACATAAATAAGAAAATTAATTAAAAAATAAATTAATAAGGGCAGAATAGTCTTTTTAGGTAAGACAGGGACCAAACGCGCAACAAAAATAAACAATAGGGACCATCCAAGTTAAAAAAATAAGTTAGGGATCAAAAACACAAATTCTCCCAAACCACAGGGACCATTCATGTAATTTAATTTTTACTTTTCGTTTTGTTCATATTTGGGTAACTATTTTTTTTGTACACATCTAGGTAACGAACTTGTTGAAAACGTTCACATCTAGGATTTAACCTGCTATAGCAGGTCATAATGGTCATATGTGAACACTTCCAACAAGTTTGTTACCTAGATGTGTACAAAAAAAAGATAGTTACCCAGATGTAAACATACCGAAAAGTTAATTACCTTAATAAGTCATATTCCCTTTCCTCCACGTCGAGCACATCGTTGGATGGAGTAAACCGTGTAATAAATAATAATACACTGATTGAAAGTTGAGGGACTATGCATGAGTTTCGGTGATAGTTAAAGGGCGTAACTGAAAATTATGTTAACATTGAGCACTTCTTAAACCCCATTACATTCATTACATGCCGAGTAAGAAGTAAGAACAAACTCAGTCTACGAGTTCTCGAAGAAAAGGCGTAAACATGGCGAGATCATCGATCCATTTCACGTTAGCAACCCTAGCTCTGTTCTTCATCTCTTCCGCGGTTGCCGAATTCCTCACATTGACACAAGATAACTTCGAGAAGGAGGTCGGTCAAGATCGTGACGCTCTCGTCGAGTTCTATGCTCCCTGGTAAATCAACTGAACTTAGAAACATTTTTTTCGTCAATTTAATGATCTTAGATTATCAAATATATTGTTGTTGATTTTTCAGAGGTGAATTGGAGATAAAATTGACGATTGGTTTTGATTTACTGATTGTTTTTGTATGAAATTAGCTTTGATGGAGAGATCGTTGGTTATCGATATCTAGTTTATGATCAGTGTATAATGATGAATTTGGGTTATTTAGTTTTCTCTCCTTGATTCTATCAATCATGATCTGAGTAAGGTGAAGATATTTGGGGATATAGCTGATGCGACTGATATGATTGTTTCGTTTTGGCTTGATAATCGTAAATATGGTAACGAAACTAAATCAGTACTCTTTCATGTGTTTTTTTTTTTTAAATGTAGGTAGAATTCATTTCACTTTCTCAGTATAGATATAGTTTGATCTGTTTCGGATAGAAACAATACAATTTAAATATTTAATCGTATCTCAGTTTTATGATGATTTGTATGTATCGGAACAATATTGGCATTTCACTCATTAATGTTGCCAAGAGATGTGCCATGTGGTATTGAAAAGAAATTCTATTTCATATGCGTGAGTTTTGTGTAGGCAGTGGTTTTGTATGATGGAATGGGGGAATGATTGGAATGACCCATTCCGTTGAACTTAAAAAACCTGTTTGTTTTCTCTGGTGGAATGGAATGGACCATTCCTGAAGGAATAGATCTGTACATTTAATTCTGTCTATTTTATCAGGTGTGGGCACTGCAAAAAGATAGCTCCAGAATTTGAAAGAGTTGGTAATGGCTTCAAGAAGGCAAAATCCGTATTAATTGGAAAGGTGGTTTCTTGTATAAGTTACACCATATATTATAGTTTTCTTGTTTTAATTCTGTTTACCAAAGGGATATTAAACTCCCTCACTAGCTTCTACATATTCCTCTTGAAAAAACTCTTCAATTTGCTAAACTTAAACACTTGACATTTGGTTGAATATACACATTCACTAATGATACTATATATATCTTTACTTGTCTTTGTGATGTATTCATAGGTGGATTGTGATGAACATAAGGATGTTTGCACCAAATATGATGTTACAAGCTACCCCACCATCAAATATTTTCCAAAAGGATCACTGGAGCCCAAACTGTCAGTAATCTTTTTTTTTTTTTTCCAATAAAACTTATATTTTCTGATAAATAAAATACTCATATTTTCTTGTTTTTCAGCTATGATGGTGAACGTACTGCTGAAAAATTTGCTGAGTATGTAAATAGTCAAGCAGGTAAATTCCTTCTTTATTTATCTTGTTTATTTATCTTACCTTTACAAATGTCCCTGAAAATTAATAGTAATGATATGTAAATATATATATATATATATATATATATATATATATATATATATATTTACATATCATTACTATTAATTTTCAGGGACATTTGTAAAGGTAAGTGCAGTTGGCTCAAATGTGGTGGCACTAACATCATATAACTTTAACAAGATTGTAATGGATAACACAAAGCATGTTTTGGTCGAGTTCTATGCACCCTGGTAAATACTAATTACTTTTCTTTACACTTAGTTAATATGCTTCATATTATCTATCCATTTACTCTATTTCGATAATTGCTTATATTTGCATTCACAATCTTGTCTTGTATTTCAGGTGTGGTTATTGCCAAAACGTTGCTCCTGTATGTGACACACACACTTTCCTTTTAATTTTAATACTAACCGAAACCTTAAAACCCCGTTTGTTACATATAACATAACATAACATAACAGATAGTCGTCACAGTGTTTTGGCATGCATTGGACTAAGACGCAGACTATGCCAATAGGAAAAAAGTTTGCAATTTTTGTCCTATTGACAGTTTTAGTCATAGTCCAATGCATGTCAAAACACAGTACAAGACTGTTTATCATGGCATGTCATGTATAAGAAAATGGTATGAATATTGTGTTCTTATTTTCTGTTTTTGTTACAGATCTATGAAAGCCTTGGAGATGCATTTAAAAACGAGGATGATATAGTAATTGCGAGTATTAATGCTGATATATACAAAAGACTTGCAGAAAGGTAAGATTTAAACGCGTGTAGTCATGCGTATCTTCTTAACCTAAACCCTAAATAAAGTATAAACAGAAAAAGTTTGTAATGATGCAGATATAATATAGAAACCATTCCAAAATTAATATTCTTCTCAAAGGATAACAAAGATGGTGAAGATGTTCCAGGCAAACCCACTTTAGAATCTCTTTTAAACTTTGTGAATCACAAGTGTGGGACAAGCCGTGATGGGGAAGGACAACTTACCTCCAATGTCAGTGCTTTAAAACAGATGTTTAAAAAATATATGATATATTAATTAGTCATGTCTCATTAAGTAAAAAAATAAAAAAAACAGTATGTAATAGTTTGTTTTGGTGGTGAAAACAGGCGGGGATAATTGAGATGTTGGATGTGTTGGTGAAGGAGTTTAAGACTGCTTCTGGTGAAGATGATAAGCAACAAGTATATGCCAAGATTGAGGAGGAAGCTGCAAATCTCAATGGCTCTTTCGCAAGGTTATTAATTCTTATATTTATATTTTTTAATATTTATATTCATGCTTTTGTCACTTCCTTTTTTTTTTTTTTTTTTTTTTTTTTTTTTTTTTTTTTTTTTTTGTTACATAGTACGAGACAAGACAGTATAGAACAGGTTGTGAAAAAAGGCTTACAATTTGTAGATATCTGATGTCATTCTCATTAAAAAGCTTGTTTGTGTCTTTTTTTTTAGTTGTAGAGTGTATTTGTTTTGTTTTTTGAAGGTTGAGTTTGAATATTTGATTGTCAGATATGGGAAAATATACATTAAGGCTGCACATAGTTATATGGTTAAAGGTGCCGATTATGCAAAGAATGAAATCCAACGTATCGAACGTTTGCTTTCCAAGGTAAAAACAAAAACTCATTTATCTGTCTATTTTTGATTTATTATAAAGCCAAAATACAGAAAAACACAACGTATTTTAATTGTTTTATTAGTTTAAACACTTAACTGATTTGTGTAGTATTTTAACAACTATACTATTTTTATTATCGTTCAAAAAAATTACCATTTACCCAAAAAAAAATTAAAAAAAGGGCAAAATGCGAAAAACACAAGGTATTTTCATTTTATTGATTTAGTAGTTGAACTCTTATGTTTTTAATAATTGGTATTATATATTTTGATGGCTAAATTGATAAAATTGTGAAAATATTTTGTGTTTGTCCTTGATTTATCGATCAGCCACTAAGGTTTTATTTTCTTTATGATTTTTAAAATAATATTTTGGTGACTAAAGGATAAAATTAAACCAAATTGTTTTGATCTCGCTTAACTCTTATCCGGTTAAAAAAAAAAGGCAAAATACAAAATACAAAATGAAATACCTATTTTATCGATTTAGCTACTAAACTATTATTTTTTATGTTTGTTATTACAATAGCCCTAGCAAAAAAAAACAATAGTTCAGTAGATAAATTGATAAATATTGTAAAAGTAGGTGTTTTTATAATTCAAAAGGTATATAATGGTGTAATTATGACAAAACAAAAGAATATATAGTTAAGTGTGTTTAAGAATCTGTGATAAAGTTTTAATAATTAGTTTGTTACTTGCAGTCAATTAGCTCAGTGAAGGCCGATGAATTCACCCTGAAAAAGAATATCTTATCTGCATTTACTTAATTGATAACATACAGACACTATCATGAGTTGTTGATGATTTGTTGACGTACGTAGTTAGGGAGGTATGATAGAATTTTGATTCCCACTTCATTCTTATTGGTTGCTACACCAAATAAATTACAGTAGACATGTTAATAATAATAATAATAACCTTCATTCTTTCATTTTTTTTACCTTTGTGATTTTATTTTTCTAGCTAAAACCCACTTTGCTTATGCATTTGTTAAAAAACCCACTTTGAATAGTTTGTCAACAAAACGAATTTTGGTTTTTTAAATGTTTGGATCAGCTTAGCTTATGTATTTGTTAAAAAACTATAAGCTATAAACGCTATTTTGTGTTTGACTAACTACTTATATTTGTAAAATGGTCATAAATGGGAGGAAAAGAGAGAAGGGGAAGAAAAGAGGTTGAGGTGCAGTTAAAATACCCCTTTTTTTTTTTTTTGATAAAAGGGTTTCTTTTGGCAAAATAATAGAGGTATTAATGTTGGAAGAGAATGACTTCTTCAAAATCTGGAGAGAAGACATTTTAAAAAACTATTTTGACTTCTCAACCACTCTATTTAACTTATTGAGTTATTAGAAAGCCAATAACTTAAGGTGTTTTAAAATTCAAAATCAAACAGTCTTTATGTTTTTCAATATAACTTTTGATTATGAATAAAATATATTTATTCATACCAACACATTAAAATTAATTAAATAAAAGCTGTTGTTGATTTATAAATTTTTGTTTATTGTATAGGAATACTAAATCTATACAAAAGTAGAGTAACAAAAATCAAGCATATGCTAAATTTTATTATGTTTTGAAAATAAATAAAACAACGAAACAGTATTTGTAGGGACGAAGCTTATGTAGGGCCAGAGGGGCTGTGACCCCTGTTTTTTTTCATAACTAACCCTTAACTATTAAAATTTTTACATCTTAAGCCTAAAACTATAAATTTTGACTTTGGCCCCCCTATTCTTCAATTTTTATACATATTTTATCCCCCCAACCAACACTTCAAGCTCCGTATTTGACTAAAGTTGTTTTTTTTTAAATGAATAGATAGTTTAAGAAAACAAAACATAAAAAAAATGCTATTTCCAACATTTTCTTTTGGCATTAAAAATACCAGCTTAGCATGAGGTATCGGTGAAACACTGAAATTGGCTATTGTGGGATTTATGAAAAAGAAATCTTAAGAAAAATCTCATATTTTGGGAAAATTAAAGATTAAGTCCCATTTTTTTTATTATTATTATTATTTTTAAATAAAGAAGTCCAAGAAATAGATAAATTTCTTCACTTTAGTCCATTTTAACCTGAACAGACCAAGAGATCAAATCGTTAATTTCTCAAAATAATAGGATTTTTTCTACAATTTTTTTCAAAATTTGTATATAACGTCTAAACGTATTTTTATATATTTATATATTTATATTCTTAAGTATTTTTACATATTTATATATTTTTTTAAAGTTTTTTTATACAGTTTTTTTATGTTTTTATGCATTTTAAATGTATAAACATATTTTTTTATGTATTTATATAAAATTTTAAGTATTTTTATGTATTTTGATATATTTTTTCACGTATTTATATATTTTTTAAATATTTTTTTTATGTATTTTGGTATTTTTTTATATATATTTATGTATTTTCTACTTCAAGTTTCATTATAAGTTAACTATTAGACTTTGTAAATGAAAAAAAAAATGCACTAGAGTACTTTAAAACATACATTTTTTTCAATGACGATCATTAGCAATCATCATCATTTTTGCAGGTAATATTTTTTCTTGAATTCAGTTTGTAGATAAACAAAGTTTACGAATATCTTTATTAACGACAAAGATATTTGTAAACTTTGTTAATCTACAAACCGAATTCAAGAAAAAAAATGAAAGAATTTATCTGAAAAAATGACGTTGATTGCTAAGATTTTTCTTTGAAAAATGTTTGTTTTGAAGTAATCTAATGCTTTTTTTTCTTCATTTACAAAGTTTAATAGTTAGCTTAAAATGAAACATGAAGTAAAAAATACATAAATACATAAAAAAATATACTAAAATACATTAAAAAATACTTAAAATAATTTAAAAAATACATATAAATATGTAACAAATACATTTATACATTTAAAATACTTAAAAAGTTGTAAAAAACACTATAAAAAACTTAAAAAATACTTAAATACATGAAAAATATACCAAAGTACATAAAAGTATGTAAAAATACTTAAAATTCATATAAATACATAAAATGCGTTTATATATTTAACATACATAAAAAAAAACTTTAAAAACTTTAAAAAAAAATACATATATATATATATATATATATATATATATATATATATATATATATACACTTAAAAACAACATATAACTACATAAAAATACGTTTATACATTATATATAAAATTTTAGTAAACTTGTAGACTAGTCTCATTATTTTGAGAAAATTAATGATTTGATCCCATGAATTCCTGAACATATCAAAAAACTACAATGAAAAAACTTTGAAACTTCATTGCTTTTTTGCTAAAAACAGGAGCTACTGGGGGGGTTTTTTTTTTCCATTTGCCCTATATATGAAACCAAGCTTTCTAGAAATATTTTGGTAAGTTATTAAATATCATGAATGAAAAGTTGTCGTAATTATAAAAATATACTGTTCACATTAGTATCCATCGCACATCATCAAACCCAACTTTCAAGACAAACAGATATCATTTTAACTTGAAAACTTGTGAAAAAGAGCGAGCATGAAGATTGCTAAATTTTCATGGGAAGAAAAATTTAGAATTAAATGTCAAAAAAACCCAAATCAAGAGTCCAAAGTTTAACATTAAAGATTGATCATGTCTTGAAACAGTTATCACAAGGATTAGATCCATTTTTGCATACTCTTCTGTTAAAAGATTCCCCAAAGTGCTCCAACAACATTTGTCTACGACATTTTTCCTACAAATCACAAAACAAAACTCATCATCTTCTTATTACAAACATGAAAAGTAGAATGAAGTTATTTTAAAAAAAAAAAAATGAAAGTAGGAAATAAAATGGGTTACCTTTTGTTCACAATATTGTTGCATTTGACGAGCTTGACCCATTGCTATTTTAAAACTTTCGCTTTTGCTCCCTCCACTTCTTAACATGCAAACAATTCGACTAAAATCTTTTTTCTGATACAAAGCAACACATTCTGAAGGGAGATTATCTCTTCCAGCTCTTCCAGATTCTTGATAATAGCTTTCAATCGACTTTGACAATGTATTGTGTATCACAAATCGCTGCAAATGTTCATAACAAATTAACATTTTTAGCTCTCAACAATTATTTAAAAAAACAAAAAAACAAAATCAAAGTAGGATGCTATAGCTATACTATAATAATATAAATGAAAGTAATTGTAGACTTACAACATCAGGCTTGTCAATTCCCATGCCAAAGGCAATAGTGGCACACACCACATGCACCTCTCCTGTGTGCCATTTCTGCTGCACAGCTACCCTTTGTCTTGCAGATAAACCAGCATGATAAAATACCGTTTTTATTTTACATTTTTCATTTAAATACTTTGAAACTTCTGCACATTCGTTTTTAGAAAGACAATAAACTATCCCTGATGAGTTTTTGAATCGATCAGATAGTAACTTTCCAAGCTGTTTCAGAGGCTCTTTGTTTTTCTCAATCACTTCATACTTCAAATTCGGTCTATCAAAACTCGTTTCTAGAACAAGAGCATGTGGAATCTTTAAAGCTTTCAATATGTCCTGCATAAAACAAACAATCCATCCCCATCACAAGGGCATTTACGTCTTTTTGCACATACCATCCCATCATAACAGCAAAATACCTTACGAACTGAATGTGTTGCAGTAGCAGTTAATGCCATGACAGGAACATTTGGAAAATTCTGCTTTAGACACCCCAATACTCTGTAATCTGGACGAAAATCATGTCCCCATTGGCTGAATAAACAAAAGTCAGTATGTATGTATGTATGTATGTATGTATGTATGTATGTATATCATACCTGACACAATGTGCTTCATCAACAACAAATCCAGCAAGTTGTCCCTGTAAAAAAACTTTTATTTGAAATTCTGTTTTGGAAACTTTGATGTGAATTACCATGAAACGAACCTTGTTGTGTAGAGATTTTAATGTGTCTTGAAATGACAAGTTCCCAGCAATCCTTTCAGGAGTAACATACAACAGCTTGCATGATGGTTTCTCTCTCCTAAAACATCAAAGAATGTTATTTCATTTTCACCATATATTAAAAAATAGATATAGTTCACAAAGATTAACATGATTGCCTTAATTCTTGAAGCACAGCACTGGCTTGTGAAGTAGTTTGTTGTGAATTTAAAAAAGTTGAAGGCACTCCAAACTTGAGATTCAAAGTGATTATCTGATCCTGAATTAGAGATAGTAAAGGGGAGATGACAATGGTGACACCTGTCTGCATTGTTGCAGGTAGCTGCATTATTTATAAGCAAAAGAACAATGGCTCCTTATAAAGATTAACTGTTGAAGGGATAAATGGTGTATTGTATTAAAAATAAATAAATAAATAAATACCTGGTAACATAGACTTTTTCCACCACCAGTAGGCATAAGAACAAAACAATCACGCTTCTGCACAAATGCTTTACAAGCTTGATGTTGTAAAGGACGAAATGCTTTATTACCAAATATCACAACATTTGCTAATTCAAGATCATCCAGTGACTTCAGCTCTTCATAGCTAAGAGTTTCATGTCCATTTAATGATGTGGGACATGTCTTCTTACCAAAAAATGATAAAACTGAAGGTTGTGTGGTTATCATCTTCTCATCCTACAACAGACACCAAAGCAATTGTATCATTAAATAATGCTTAGACATGATGATAAAACCAGGATTCTTTTACCTTCTTATTTGAAGTGCTTCGTGGGGGAATGGGCATCTGAGTGCTTTTATTATAAGATGAGGAATGTGTAGATTTTATATCCTTCTTGCTTGAGATATTGAAGTCTAGGTCTTCATCTTCACTTGTAGAATCCAGATGAAGTAAGTTATCATGTTTCTGAGGTTTGGATGATGGGTTCTTTGATACATGAACAAAAGGTCCCATAATATCATCGTCATCAGTTTCATTATGTCTCGATGAGTCTTTGTCAAACATGTCTGCTAGGGTTCCACACGCTTCAGTCTCCAAAGCTTGTAAATCATCCCAATCCTCACTATCTTGCATAGTTTCCGCAAGTGATGCAAGAAAATCATCGCCACAATGTTCCACAGTGATGAAGTCCCTCCCATCATTGCCTACACAATAAATTAGAATATTAGTTCATAAATTTTGCCCTATCTTAGTTATCGGTTTGAAATTTGCTCCATAGTTGACGCAATATGTTCAGAATGCCCAAAGACATGAAGACTTCATTTATACGTTAAGTCCGAAATTGAACAAAACTTTTAGCTTTACATTTCACCAGTTGAAATCATAGGAAGATTTATAACAACATTCAATTGAAGAGTCGAAAATAATCATGAAGTACATATTTGAATAATCTGACAGGAAAGAGAAGTTTCTAATCCATTTCTAGGGTTCTAAACTGAAACATATTGTTTGAGAGAGGGTTTATCACCGTAGAGACCAACAAGACGATCTAAGCAAATGCGAGCGGATTCTTCATCGAATCCGAATTCGAGAGCCAAGCTTATCAACCTGGTTTTTTCCATCTCTAGATTCTCTTCAGAATCCATTTTTTTCTTCACTGGAAATCTTCCCGCGCTTCTTTATTTTATAACATTCAGATGACGGCCGTAAACTTTTTTTTTTTCTTTATTTATTTATTTATTTTTTGTAAGTTTTTGCCTTGTGATGTTGACGAGTATCTTTTTTAGAAGGAATTTTATCTTATCCTTGTAAATATATTTTTCATAATTCTCAAATTTTCTTTGTTAACTTTTAAATGTTCGTGATTCCAATTCTGTACTATCTATCATGCAAAATAGATCAATCACACAAACTAACATAAAAACAATAATGGTAACACTAATATCTGTCCATTTCTATGCGTCTTTCTCATGAGTCAAACGTAAACGTAGAAAGACAATGTCAAACTAGGAACAAAATGACACTTGAAGCTCTCATTTGATCTGTCACCAACTCTTCATGCTCAGTACAACTCTATGGCCTCCACTTTTCATGATCCTTGGCGTGAAATCTTCGGTCTTCAGATTATTACAAAGTTTTGATAATCTAATACAGTTTTCCTAACTAAACTATTACATTCATTCTAAAGGAAAAAAATACATTACATAATCCTAAAATTTAAAGTGACACGTAGGTCACAAAAATTACAAACCCAAAAACCAAAAATACATACAACACTACATAGGTCTAGGCAAGACAAGGTGTACCGGATCCATACTTTTATGGGTAGAATTTTTTGTCTTACCACTTTTAATATCTTGAATTTATGCTAACATATCGGGTAACTTGGATTTAATTAATATCTTGGGTCTGCTATTGTATTTTTTGTTATCCTTTATGCAGTTGTTAAAGGTTTGATTAAAAAAGAATATACTAGGTCAAAAGACATATGGCCAAAGCAAAAATATGTTGAAGTCGTCCTACAAAACTGGGTCAAGCATAGATCAAGGAAGATCCTTAGAATTTAGGAATGTTTGTTATGAGCACGTATAAAAGCCTAGCTAATTTCTACTCACACACACATTATCTCTTATACTCTCATTTTCTTTCTTTTGACACTTGAGCTCTTTTACACTTACAACACGATCAACTAGAAATTGTAATTACATTTTAATTTATATAACTTCTAAGACATGTGATTTCATCACCTCCCGAGGTTTTATGCTAGAGATACAAAATGATTAAGGGCTTTTCTCATACATCTTTATGTTAAAATGTTGTTTAATCGATTACAACATTTTATTATTTGATTTCATCGTTGCAATCTTACTAAAACAATCAAAATATTTGTGGTATCTTGGTGTTTTTTAAGAATCTTAAGATTTATTATCCAAATTCACTTACTTCACCACTTTAACACTAGTTTGTCTCAATTACTTCAAATACACATATTTGCATTTCGAAACAAATTAACTTTATAAGACAGTTTTCTGAATATAATTATTTTCTTCCTAGGATCTTGGGCACGACCAAAATCTTTGGCGTATTTTAAAATCTTAAGCACTTTAAACTTAAATATTTTATTCTTACATCATACTACACTTACTAACTTGGTTACGAAATTAGTTTAATATTTTTTACCAAAACACATACAATTAAAAATAACAATTAAATTGAACTTGGATTGCAATCTTTATATCATGAGCTAAGATAATAACCATAAGATTGAAAGCAAGTACAGATACAATTATTTTTATGACCTTACATGCAAGAGATCATCTAAACAACCATGCCATACAAAACATAAGAATAAAATGGAATAATCAACATTTTGTAAAAACCTTTTGATTTGCATGAAAAGAAACATTCTAATTAACCATGGTTTAACTGTTAACCCAAAGTAATTTGAGTCTACGCACAGTAAGAACGCACAACGTACCTCAAAGGGACGTGTCGTGCATCTGATTAAGGTTTTTACGAAAAACGATTATGTTCGATTTTTGCAGGAAAAATGGTGATTAAAACACTTTTTAAAGACCAATGGATTGATCTAATCAATTTACAACCATGCAAATTGATTAATACAAATCAAATTGATTATCCTATTTCAAAAAGATATGAACCAGTGGCTATGATACCACCGATGTAATTTGTGGTCTAAAGCACAAACATACATGCATAAGTAATTAATACAAAACCAAATCCCAACCACTAGGATCACAAATCCAAAAATAATTTTCTACTAAAACTACATAGAGTAAAGATCAAATAAAACATACCTTTGAAGCATTTGGAATCTTCTTGTTTTTGATGGAAAGAGGATGTAGAGAACCCAAACCAAAGTTCTTTTCATAGTCGCATCCAAGACAAAGATCTTGTACCTTAGCAATCCTCCTTTGACCTTGTGAACACCTTAAACACAAACCCTAACAACTAAGGTTTCTAGGCTCTTGGTTGTTGGACAAGAAACCGAGGAAGAGGAGGTGAGAGACATAAAAAAATGGCTAGGGCATCCAAAAGGGGATTCTAGGGTTGGTTTTGGTATTCCTATATATAAGGGTGGTATTAGGGTTTCCATAAAGTGGTTGTTTGGCTACTACCTTTTAATTTAAACCCTTAAGGATTTACATGTTTCTATTAATGTATCAATAACTAATAAATTAACAAACTAAATCCTAATTGTCTCTTTTGTCAAATAATGTTAAGATTTCTCTTGCATATAACCCAAAAAGACATTGCCAAAAATAGTAATATTACCAACTTGTTGTGACCGTATACATTATTTCCAATAGTCTTCGCTACTAGAGTGTTGCTCCGGAACGATCATGACTATAAGTAGTTCATACGGAACTACAAAATTCATATTTGAAGGCATCCGGAACTATGAAAGATCACGTGATGGAGGTCAATGATGTTGGTGACGATATCTGCTATTTCAGGAGGTTATAACAATGTAGATGCCACTTTCTTCCCTTTCTGTTGCATCCATTGCAGTGTTTTCTAAAGGAATCGCTTCAGCCTATGTGTTGAAATCAGATGGAAATTATTCATTGGAAGAGATTGTGTATGTGTTGGAGTCAGATATTTGGGTCCATCTGGATGGAGGGGGGATTCTCATTGTATACTTTGACGCATAACCATTTTGGGTGGAATATTAATATATCACATGCCGCCTCGTGTGAAAAAGCTTTCATTTTAAAGAGTTTGCGATACTCACTTTGTGTCGACTTTAAAATGTTGAGCGCTGATCTTCCGCTCGCATGACTATTCATCTTTTGGTTGAAGATGCAATTGAAATTGTTAACTTGTTGCATAGAAATGATTCGACCCCCCCCCCCCCCTTACACGTTGATGTTTGAAGTGTTCTAGAACTTGCTCCCAAATAAGGCTCAAATCTTTGTTGATTTCCACAATCCTTGTCTCCTGAAACGTCAACATAAGCCTTCACCAACGCCACTTCTTTAATTTTAGACTATTTTCTAGATTTCTGACAGTTGGCATAATTTCGTGAGGGCTTGGGTTTTGTTGCTTGATTCTTCGTTTTGAGTTTGAGGGATGGGAGGGGGTTTGTCGTTTGATTCTTCAAATTCATTGTTTTAAGCACCATAGAATTACGATGCTTCGGGAGTGGAATATTGGAATTGGGTTTCGGAAATGGATTATGGATCGTAGGGGAATGGATTAAAACCTACATTATCTTGAGATAGCCGAAATTGGTTATAAATGTTGCATCAGTAGTTGTTTATATTGGGAATTGATATGGTGGGTATTTGAATTTGAGTTTCGGGAATGGAATATGGCAAATCTTGATAGCCTCTTTCGATTTTGTTGCATCGGTTGTGTCTTGCGTCTTTGGTTTGAACCGTTTTTTATTTGTCATTACTATAATCTATTTGAAATGAAACTGGACCGGAATCGGAGATAGTTGGAATGGAGTTAAAGAGAATGTATAGTTTTTTAAAATGGTCGAGTGTGATTTATAGTCGGTAAAAAGAAAATTGAAAAATGACCATTAGTCAATGGTCAAGAGAAGAGAGAGGCGGGCTCAACGGCTTGGTTAACCCGTTCATCCGCGAAATTCCAGTGTCGCACTTGGCGGAGTCATGTAGTTGGGAGGTAGAGTCGACACGTCATTGAATTGCATGTCATCTAGAACGACCATGTGCACCCTTAGAGAAATCAAGTTAGGCGAACGAACAGCGGATACAGTTATTCCCAATGTTGCCATAAGAACGGAGTCGGTAGTTAAAAATTGAAGAGATGGAAAACTTGTGAAATCGGTTATTAAGTTATTGATTGTCTATTTAGGGGGTGTTTGGGATTACTTTTCAACATCAAAAGTCCTTTTTGTAGAATGACTTTTTGTAAAATGACTTTTTGCAAAAAGAGTTCTTTAAAATGTGTTTGGATTAACAAAAAGTGAGCAAAATGACTTTTGTTTTAATTTTTACATCGAAAACAACAAAAAGTCATGTTTTTGTGACTCTTAGAAACCCTTCATTTTCTTTTATGCAAAAAGTCATTTTCAAAAGAACTTTTCTATTACCCAAACATTTATTTATTTATTTTTTATTATTATTTTTTTTTGGAAAACTTAAAAGTCAAAAGTCATTGTAAAAAGAATCCAAACACCCCCTTAATGTTTTGTCATTTTCACAACATTGAAACAAAACTAAAATTAATTATTATTTAGTGAAGATGTTATAAATTTGTTGTTACGTCTTCCACAATTTGGTTATGTCAATTTGTCATATCCGCCACTAATCCAATAGCTGAAGAAGTTGACATCTACTCAGGCCGTTCAGAGTACCGACAACGAACCTCGTCGTGGTCTAGCTGGCCACGAACCACGAATATGTACACCACCCCGATCTTCTCGTTGTGCTGACCTGGAGCCACGGTCATGGTCTCTCGTGCTTCCCACCACGACCAGCCTTCTTCTCTCTTCCTCTCTTCTTCTTTGTTGCAGGTGAAATCCACCACCACCACAATCAATGTGTGATGAGTATACCGGCTTCGTTGTGGAAGGCGATGATGCTGAGGTGGTTCGTTGCCGGTATTGTGGATGGTATCAATTTCACAAAACAGATTATAAGTGGAAATAAAGTGATTATACCAAAGGTAAAACAATTGTCAAACTTGACCTCTCAATTGCCAAACTTGGCTACTAATTAACAATATTTTTATTATTTTATCATTCCTATATGGTAAAAATAATTAATATTTATTAAAGAAATTAACAAATATAACCACCTTTTTTAATATTTTTACAATAAATAACAAAAAAAAAATGATGAAATTTCACTAACAACCACACATTGCATTACTGGCTATTTGTGGAATCTCATTCATTTTTGGCCATCTCTTGTAAAATAATTAAAAAAACGGGTCTATTTGTATTTTCTTTTTTCATTTTATTACCTTGTAATCTTCCTATTCACTTCCGGTATGATTATTTAGAAAATTTAATAATAATTGATTATTTGATAATGGATTGGTTAGCTCACGTAACTGATTGGTCAGGTTTTATACACATTGTACCAAATTAAAACGAAAAGTATTAAGAAAATAACAAAAAAGATTTATCATCTTAAGACCAAAACATATACGTATGTGAAACAAGAGCAATAAAAACAATAGCATGAGTGGGGTATCAAATATCAACAAACTTCAAGTTATACACTTATTTTTTATTATTTTTTATTATTATTATTATTTTTTTTTTCTGATGCCAACTTAGCATTTTGAAATTTTAAAAAATGTTATGTTTGCAAAATAAAGGGTCAACAGATGGTTTTTATAACTTATGAATGTAATACAAATACAAAATCAAGGGCACTGTGGTCATATATACAAAATAAAAATCAAGACAAGTATATTGGTGCCCTAATCTATACAAAAGATGCACATGTCAGACTCGACAACTGATTCCAGAATCTATAGCTGAAAATTGATTGAAAAACACAGTCACTTTTGGTATGAATGCGAGCAAATGACCATTTTGCCCTTCTATTATATTCAATCAATACATTAAGTCCATTAAGCACAATAGAAACAACAGCTAACTTACCTTACAGAGGACAAGTCCTACTTCAGATATTATCAACTGTACCCCACAACATATATGATCAATAGTGAACCAAAGGGCAAAAACGTAATTTGTCAGCTGGAGTTAGTTACTCGGTATATTTGATACTTGTAAAGTGCTTGAACAAAACCTGATGGAAATAGAAAGAGTTCCTTTTGGAAGCAAAGCATCACGATAGAACTACAACTGACAACTTTTGCTCAATTACCTGAGAAATAATGAAATTCAATATACTATTAAAATCATATTTTCTTCCACATTCATTAATAAAAAACTGAGTTTTTTTACCTCTTCAAAGTACTCCAATTCTTTTCTTAGTTCCACCTCCACATCAGTGGCTGTAGGTATCAACTCACCACCATTTGCTGGCGGAGAGCCGCTAGTGTCCCTCACCACCTATCATAAATAAACAGATTTATATTTCCTAGAAATAAATAAATATGAAAAAAAAATCATTGATGATTATTTACCAACTTAAAGCCTTCATGAGAATGTGAAAGCTCAACATCTTGAAAGCTCAAAGACTGGAATTGCTTTAAAACTGCAGACAATCGGATGATTGTACAAAGAACTCTCAACTTCTGCTTCATCTGTACAAAAAATTTGCAATAAAAGTAATTTGTTATTTCTTGCATTTAGCCTTTCTTTTAAATAAAAATAGAGTACCTCACGTGGGAATTCACTTAGAGAATCATGATCAGGTTTCAGGAATTTCTTTCTATGATGCCTTGCAAGCAATGCAATTAACTAAAGAACATGCAAATCCGAGGTTAAAATATAAAAAATTTATCATTTTATTAATGAATATGAAATGAAATAAGAATGGTTAAAGTGTGTACCTTAACCTCTTCAGTGTTATATCCATGAAGATGCTCTCCATTCTGTTGACATACACAATCAATTCAACCATTAAATTACTTTCTGTAATATAAAGAAGGCTATAAAATTAAATCCTCAATAATGCATACCATGATTATATGGTATGAGCGCTTATGGTAGCCTTTTTTCCCAGTGATTAAACCGATATTATGAAGCAAACAAGCAGCTTCAAGATATTCAAGATCCTTGTCATCCAATAAAACAACTTGTTTTTGTTGATCATCAATCTCACTCCACTTCCTTAAACCTCTAAAAATTCCCTGTGCAATAGAAGCACATGATGCAGCAGAAGTCATTCTTTTCTTATTGTTGAATCTTGATGCAAGCCTCAAGATTGATCTCCACCTTGCATTTGCATTCAAATCAAATCCATCAAAGAACTCTGCTAATTTCTCAGCAATAACACCTTCTCCTAATGCATAACCAGAAACTTCCATCTCTTTAATCTCAAGCAACCCAAAGATCTCTTCCAGCAAAATTACAGCAGCCACGATAAATGCTGATCTTGTCTTGAAGAACCCTTTCCGATTGTACACCTTTCCTCCTTCAACTTCACTTTCTTCTTCACACAGCTTGTCAACAAGAACCCTCAGTTCTTCCCTGGTAAACTTCCAATCCCTTCTATACCCTTCGAGTAAACCAATCTCATTCACCAGATCATTACTATAACCCAGAAATATTGCCTTCTCGATCATTCGAATAGAACCAGAGGATCCAACGGCGATATCAATCTTTTGTTGGAGAACGTTTTCGATTAGCCCTGATTCTTTAACGACAGCCCTAATGTGCTCTCTCATGGCGTCGGTTGCGTTGTTTCTTACAAACCTTTGGGTCAAAGTTACGTGCCCTAGTTTCAGTGAAATCCCAAATTTTATATCACCTTTAAATCCGATCACAAATTCAGTCGACCCCCCTCCTATGTCGATAGTAAGAACTGTGTGATTGTAAATCGGATGAAATTGTAGGACACCAAGGTAGGTAAGGCGGGCTTCTTCGTATCCTGATACCACGTCGATTTGTAACCCTAGAGTATCGTGGATGAGTTCAAGGAATTCAGATTGGTTGGAGGATTCGCGGATGGCGGAGGTGGCGACGAGGCGGAGGTGGGAGGGAGGGACGTTAAGTGAGTGGATGATGTTTTGAAATTTTCGAAGAGATTCGATGGCGCGGGCCTGGGCTGAGGATGATATGGCGGTGTTGTTGTTGCCACCGGAGACGAGAACAACTGGCTCTTTGAGTCGTTGGAGGGTGAGAAAACGGCCGGTGGTGGGGTCAGCTCGGACAATGCGGAGTTTGAAGGAGTTGGTTCCGAGGTCGATGGCGGCGAAGAGGTGGTTGTCGCCGGATGAAACGGTGGCGAAAGGTGAAATCAGGGGATTGAAGGCCATCGTTTAGGTGTAATGAAGTACAGAGATGCTAGTGATTGGCAGTTGATGTTCTCTTGTCTCTTCCCCCGCGTGACTGTAACCGTACACTGCTGCTAAGAACGCCGTCAAATTTAAGTTACAAAATAGAGAAAATACACGTTATAGTCAAAAAAAAAAAAAAAATTCAGGGTATTTCAAAATTTAGTTTTGTTGACATTTCCGGTCATAGACATACATTCCGCAGATGATTCTTTGCGGGGCCTCGCGGAATGACGAATCCTCCGCGGAACTATAAATGTTGTATGTTTTCAGTCTGAAAATGTTTGTCCGCATAGATACCTCCGCAGAGACATTAAGCCCTCCGCGGAGTGATTGTTCTGGATATTCATTAATACCTCCGCAGAGGTCGTTACGAGGGCTTTGCGGAGGCCTTAACATCTCCGCGGAATGGGTGTTACAAGGGTATTAGCGACGGTTTTTTGTGATATAAATGATTTTGTTCATTTTTTTGATCTATCTGCAATATTCAATCGGTTTTAGTGTTGAATTTTTTTTTCAAAGAAAATATGAGTTTTGTTATTCTATGTATGGGGGGTTTTGGCAGATGAGTAATGGAATTAACACCTACGTTGGACTAAAGTTTAACAACTTAGGTTTACTGCTTCCGCCTAATTTTGACCGTCGAATATTGTTTGATTTGATTAAAAGTAAGGCTAATACGTTCAATAGTAATATATCATTGTCATTTCAGCACCCGGTCCATGGGTATGTTATGAATATTGTAGACGAAGCAGATGTTCATCAACTCAAAAATGTAATGTTTGAAACAAAGGAGATTGTGCATTTGTATTTGGAGGTGTTTGAGGGATGGGTCGAACAAACAGAAGCGGTTGACAAGATTGTACCATACAATGTTGAAAACATTGTATATGATAATGTTGAAGAGTGTCCACAAGAAGAAACTATGGCAGTGAATACAGTGGAAGAAAAATATTTATATGAGTTTGGAAGACTACATGAAAAAACTTTGTCAAACGATGAAGAGTCAAATGAAGTCTGGTCAGAAGATGAGCTCACACACGGAAAAAAAAGCTTCAAACATCTTTTACGGTATGCCTCTGATACCTGATTGTCCTGATCCTATTGTTGAACCTGGACCATTTCACAGTTTAGGTCCAAATGATGATATGTTTGTTCGTCAAACGTATGATAGCAAACAACAACTAATATTTGCTTTGAGTCTTAAAGAAACCGGAGAAAAGTTTAAGTTTAAGACCAAACATTCTAACAAAAACCATTACGAGGTATATTGTGAAATTGAGAACTGTAGTTGGCGTTTATATGCAAAACGCATTGATCCGGCTGATGAATTTGAAATCAGGACTTTCAAAAACGTGCACACATGTTCATCATTATAGATACACCTAAATCATAAGCACGCAAATAAAAAAGTCATGGGGTGCTATATTGCATGAGATTATGGGAAAAAATCGTTCGAAGGTTTGGAGGCCTAATGAAATATCAAAGGATTTGAATGATTTGCTGGAAATCTATGACATCCCAAAATCCAAGACCAAAAATTTTGTTTTTAATTAAGTAAGTATAAAACCAGTAGTTTGAAACATCCATAGTGTTAACTCATTTCATAATCAAAACCAGTATTTTAAATAACTAAAGCATGTCATAGAAAAGTATTATCAGAGTACAACTCCCAAAGATCTCATAATGCGGAAATCATAGTGTGATGCGCTGCGATCCTGCCGGCTCCTTTCCTTTTGAAAAAGAAGTACCTGAAACCAAAACTGAAAACCGTAAGCACAAAGCTTAGTGAGTTCCCCCATCATACCACATACCATACAATAACATACTGCCTAGCATATCTGGATGCTGGCCTACCCCTTCGGTCTCTTTCAACCGGTAACCTGCCTAGCATATATGGGTGTTGGCCTACCCCTTCGGACTCTCTCAACCGATAACCTGCCTAGCATATCTGGGTGTTGGCCTACCCCTTCAGTCTCTTTCAACCGGTATCCGGGGACTATTTCACCCTTACCACTACCACATAATATCCTAGCATATACATACAAATTCTCCTACTGCCTAGCATATCTAGGTGCTAGCCTACCCCTTCGGTCTCTTTCAACCGGTAACCTGCCTAGCATATCTGGGTGCTGGCTTACCCCTTCGGTCTCTTTTAACCGGTACCCTGGGGACTATCCTACCCCTTCTACCACTATCACATAATATCCTAACATACTAGCACATAAAGCATAACAGATAGTGGCATACCATACAATTATCACACATACAATCATCTCAACTAAAATCAGCTACTATTGGGCTGTCATTGGTGCCTTCGACCCACTTCTACTGGAAGGTAACTCACCTCGTGCTACTGAAGTCCACTGCAATAAATCCCACGGATAAATCTCTGGCTGCTAGCTGGCAGATCCTCGAACTGCTGATCTCTTGACTTCCCGAGCTACCATTGCCAAAATAACACTTAGTCCAAAACCAATAATCCTCCTTAGGATAAAATGACCATTTTACCCCTAATCCAACTTGGTCCATATCTAAGGCCCAAAACTATCATATGAAAGGCCCAATACTAGGTAGACTTCTCAAGCTCACTAGTGGCCCACTAATGGCCCAATTTGCTAAATTGGGCCCAACCCCTTTAATGGGCCTTGCTCTAAGGCACAAACATATCCTTGGCCCAAAATATCTGACTTATGGTGGCCCACTAAGGCCCAAAGAAAAAAGTCCAATGTATGGCCAAACTCGAGGCCCAAAACACGCAAAGCCCACATTTGATGAGTACGCGGGGGCGTACTCCTCTGTACGCTAAGCATACAGGCTGTATGGCGTGTACGCTGCGCGTACATGCATGTACGCCCAATGTATTGCTCTGTTAAGCCACTTTTCCCCTTAAGCACTTAATTCTCTATTCCAAAGGCTATAATCACAGATCCAAGTCCTCTTCAACATCTTAATCCATAAAGTCACCGACTTGGTGACTTACATGACCCAAATAAGCCCAAACTCCAAAAAATAGTATTCTACTTCCATGAAAGTGATCTTAACTCATGCATGAACCCATTAAGACATTCAAGATGGCAACTTTCTGCCTTAGGGACTCATTTAGCACAGAGAGTGGCAACTCTAAGCCTAGGAATCATATTTGAACCATAAAGCTCCATCCTTGGGAACAAAAAGTCCAAAAACTCAACATAATAGATCTAAGCATTCAAGACGCAAGTTTAAGACTTTATACCTCAAGATGGTCTGAAATGAAACAGCAATCTCGGATCTACAACTTTTCCTTTGAACCACCACCTTGCTTTGTTCTTTACTTGCTTGGAAAATGGATCCACAACACCAAAATGCTCTCTAATGGCTTCTAAGCTCCAAGAACATTCAAAGAAGGATTATGGTTTCGTAGTAGCTGTCTAAGGGTGAGAGGGAGGCTGATATCTAGGGCATTATGTTCTTTATATAGTGCTTCCCAAAAATTAGGGTTTAGGAACTCTGAGCGTATGATGGGCGTACTTCTAGTACGCTGGGAGTACGCCTCTAACACCCGCGTCCACTTACTCCTCTACGATGGGTGTACCCCCAACTTACGTTGGGCGTACTTCCGCGCTGGCCACCTTGCATGCGTGGTACCTTCTTGCCACTTTTCTCCATTAGGGACCAATATTGCCAATAACTTCGAAGTGCTCTTACTTCTTCGTTCTAAGTCCGTTTCCGACGAACTTTATATCCACGAAAAGGTGGTGAGAAGCCCTACGCTCCTAGCCACACCCTATAACACCGTAAATTTCCAAACAAATTTTTTTTATTTTAAAATCATATAATTCTCATAACGCATTTCACAAAATCTCATTTATTTAGTTTACAAAACACATCTCCATAATTTTTTGATTAATAATCCAGGATCCTCAAAACATAACTCTTTCTCTGGTGTGTACAATCGAGTCGGTGGCTTCTCGCGATCCTGAGAAAAACCTGAAACACATAACACATAACACGGTAAGCACGAAGCTTAGTGAGTTCCCCAAAATACCACATACAACACATTAGCCACTCGAGGCTATAACTCTGTAAGACCCTCCGGTCTAGGTGTCTCAGTGGGACCCTCCAGTCTCATGGCTCGTTGGACCCTCTGGTCCGGTCTAAATGAGGACCCTCCGGTCTCACAGCTCGTTGGACCCTCCAGTCCGGTCTCAGTAACACATAATATAGCATATATATCATACAGACAAATGCGTAACTCAAGTAAGCACATACGACCCTCTGGTCACACATAAATACCACTCTAGGTAAAGTATAGTGAGAAGACTCACCTCGGATGATGAACAGACCCTATAAACACTGTTGCTATGCACCGGCCTCTAACTCCGAGCCAAAACCACAATTAACCCAATTAGGAACTAAGTCCAGACTCTCACTCATTAGGTCTAAAAGAAGACCACTAACCCGCCCATTAATAGGCTAAAACGCATTGGGCCCACCAAGGCCCAATAATAAATGGGCTCACTCGAGGCCCACTCTCAAAACTAAATGGCAAGCCCAACTCAAGGGCTCAAGCACGAATATATATTCCTCTGGTCCAATACTCTATTGCAACAAGCCCAAACTCCAGGCCCAACACTCAAGGCCCAAAATGAGACTTAGCCCAAAAGTCCACAGTGAGATTACACAGGGCGTACCTCCCTTGGTACGCTCAGCGTACTCACAATCCAGATTGGCCATCGGGGACACTGGGGCAGTACGCGGGGTGTACAGGAATTACGCTCAGCGTACTCCCTAGATTCACTCTTTCTACTCATTTGGTCTTAATCAGTTAAGACATTAACTCAAATCCCATATCTGGACTTCCTAATGGCTCTTAATTCATAAAGTCAGTGACTTTAAGCCTTTGCATGGCTGGAAAGGTCACAAACACCCAAAACACTTACTCCTTTATCTCAAAAGCTCATAACTCGTGCATTGCTTGATTCCAACGACCAATATTGGATTTTTATGACATTACACTACTAATCACACTCAAAGGGGTTGATCATAGCCTCTGGAGTTCACTATCTTATAAAGTCTCCACCTT